GGAACTCTGTGAGGAATAAGCCCAGGAGGGAAGGACAGTGAGGATGATGCCCTGGTAGTGGAGGAGACCACCGGGGCTGCATGTCTGTCTGCCTTTGCCACTCAGGAAGCCCTTCCGTCTCATTGGACCCCAGGTCCTTCATCCGTGTTGGAGGCGATGGACTCTGCATCTCTCAGATACATTTTTGCTTTTTCATACAATTTAGGTTGTTCCTATAATTTAGACTCCCAGGACACCTGTGAAGGCAGCGGTGTGTTGGCGGATCAGCCATACCCTCTCTGCAAACCTCCTCCTTCCCGTGCCTTCCCCTCATCTCGCAGCACCCCAGATGGCCCTCTAGGGGTCTGATGTAGGACTGAGCCACCACGAAGGCCATCACGGCACAGAGTTTGCACCCAGGGAGGGGCGATGCTTAACCCAAAGCGTGAGCCACAACCACGGTGTTGGAGGTCCCTGCAGGGAAGGAGTGGGGCTTGCTGAATCCTCCAGAGCCTCCATCTGCGCGACTTGCAGGCGGAGTCCCGAGCCCAGGGACATCTCCACAGGGTAGAGGCAGCAAAGGGCCACTGCATTTCCCCTGGCTCCTTGCAACGTGGGCTCTTTGGAGACTGTTTGTATTTCACTTCCTGGCCTTGCTGCCAAGCATTCTCCAGCCTCCAGAGCGGCCCGGCAGGTTCAGCTAAGGATTCTGACCACTGCTGCCTTTGTCCCCAGAATATCAAGTAGGCTTGGGCAGCCGCGGCCAAAGCTTCCTGTCCCCACAGCTGCCACCTCTGCTGGGGGCCGGGCGCATCAGCTCTTCCCAAATCCAAACCATCTTCGGGTAGCATTCAGGCCACTGGAGTGGATCTGGGTTTTGTCCATTTGCGTGGGTTCAGCCTCTAGAGCTCAAAATGGCATGAATGACAGAGACAGAATATTCATCCGAGGAAAGTGGGCAGACACACCTGCATGCCTATCCGTCTCCCAGGAAGGACACTCCCTGGGCAGAGCACGTCGCTGTGAACAATGTCACTGGGTCCCTGTCTCCTGAGTGGCTCTAACTTCAGATACGAGCACGTGTTAATTACGGAAGAGCATCCAAGCTCCCAAACTGATCACGTTTCCATGAAGTTTCCCATCTTAGTTTTCTCCAACTCCTTAAAATAGGTACATTTGCTTTTATGTAGAAATGATATTTTCAATCACTGGCCGACCACTTCATTTACTGATTTCTCCCCAAGTCTTTGAGTAAACTGACACGTCAAGAAGATCCACCACATCCACCTGCCTGGCCCCACAAGTACCCCAGTTTGAGAAGCAAGGAAAGAACAAATGATTTCCCCTGGAAGGTGCAGTGATCACTTGTTCTCCGACTTCTCCCCCAACCCACTCACCGTAGGTGTTGTGCACAGATCAAGACTCGGGCTCCCCTCTCCCTCCCCACATCCTGCTGCCGACACTTGCCCTTCGTTTTCACATTTAAAGCTTAAGAATCAGAACGCAGGTAAATTCTCCCCCAAGGGGTCCTGCTTTCAGCAGATATTCACTCTAGATGCACCAGAGGGGGAATGAGAGATTTTAAGGAGATGCTTTAAGGGTCTTACCCAGGTGCCCCTTAAAGGGTCCTCCACGTTAGGATGACAGAATAATTAACAAAAGGGTGGGGAGTGGGGGACAGGAGCCCTGGTCAGCTGGTGACCACATGCTGGTTCTGTGGCCCCACACCAGAAGACCAGAGCTTTGCACATACCGGAGCTCAGCAAAGTTTGAGCTGTTGAGCTGTTCTGCTTCTGAGAATTCTGCTGTGAGCTGGTTTTGAGATGAGTTAAGGCCGTGGGACCCAAGGCCACGATCGGAGCATGTTTGTAGTATGCAGTAAATAATTGCTCCACGCATGCGTCAATTATATAAGATTTAGAACAAAGAAAATAGAAGTACGCATGTGCTATTCTGTAAGCCTAATGAACAAAGAAACTCAGACCGCGCATGTGTTGACAAAAAACAGATAAACGCAGGACAGGTGCATCATAGGCGCACCTCCCTGTGGCAATAAAGTGTTAACCCCATGGTGTCTCCAGCTGAAGTCTGTGCGGCGGTATGGCAACTCCTCGTGCATTTTTTCGTTTGGGCCGCTCACCACCTAGAACCCCACAGCAGCCTCCCTCGGCCGACATCTGCTCTGGTCAATGATCAGGCCAACCAAGATGGCTGTACTCTGGCTTTCTGTGCACCCCGTGCCCAGCCAGTGCCTGCTTCACCTACACCTGACTCACATGACTGACCTCCCTACATACTTGCCCCCACCCCAGCTAATGATTGTTCTAAATTTAGATCAGAGCATCTCCTCCGTGATAGCTTATCAAAGGGGTGGTGAGGGGTGTGGCCTTCTGCTAGTTTCCCTGGTAACTGATGAGCCAGCCTGACACTGATTCCCACTATGATTGGTAACCTCTCTCTACCCCCAGGAGCAAAGCCTGCCGCCACATCCTGCCTGCCATCTGCCGCACGATATGAGGGGTCGCTGCAGGTCCTTGCGTCAGACATGTAAGCCCCAACATTTCCATTAAACCACTGATGTCTCCGTCTCCGACCCTGGGCTCCCTTTGGTCTTGAAGCTGGGCGAGTGTCGGCCTTACCGGCCTGCGGGGTTCAGCCCAGCACCAGTGGACGTGGTGTGTGCGGAGAGTTGTGGTGTGAGTCTCGCTCGGTGCTTGATGAATGTTGGGTAAACCTGAATCCGAATCCAGGAGCCAAGTGGGCCTCCTTGGCAGCGAGGCGTGGGGAGGGCTGGTTTTCTTTGAACTACCACCCTGGTTGTGGTTGCTGGAGAGACAGAGGTGGGGATGCTGTTTGAGGACCCAGAGTCACGAGGCACCGGCGCACGGGCTCGGGTGGCCCCCCCGGCAGGAGGCCAGGCGAGAGTGGTGACGAGGAGCCGGGACATTGGGCAGGACCCGGCACAGGACGTGGTGGTCGTGTTGGAGTCTGAGTCTCATCCTGAAGGTTCTGAGAGGCCGATAGAAAATTTTCAGTGGAGAAATTTCATTCCCCGCTTTCTAGTTCAGGAAGAAGCCCTGGCTCGGCCTGGAGAGAGTGGGTTAGAGGGAAGGAAGACGGGGAGGCGGGGAACCTGGCTCCGAGGCTGTTGCAGCAACGCAGCTGAGAGACCGGGGCTCCAGAGCAGCCTGAGCTTTTGTCTTTTCTGAGAAAAAAAGGCCTCAGGATGAGGGTCGTGGGCAGCAGCTCCGGGGCTGGTGTACTGTGCCGTGTGGCCACATAGGGGTATCTCTTTGAAATCGCTCAGTATTCTTTCTCTAACCCCATAAGACCCTTTTCTTATGGAGGGGTTGTTATTTTGAATTTTTAAAATCCTTCAGGGCCTGATAGTCGCCCTCCTGCTCAGGTGAAGAGAAAATCAGGCTGCGGCTCTCGGGGTCAGGATCCACGTACAGAATTAACACTTATCAGCTGTAGCTTCAGGGCCAGCCCTCCATTCCCCCAGCCAAGATCCCCTGATTCCCTTCGCTCTTGGGATTCGCTGTGCCTTACACATCCTCCCCCAGAAACTCAGGAGAATCACACAATTCTGCTTGAGGGGGACGCTGGCAGCACAGTCCTCGAAGCAGAGGTAGTACGGGGCGCAGGCTTCAAGCTGGTGAGCTCCGGGGGACGTGGATGCTGGAGCTTCCTGAGGGAAGGGACCGCCCCATCAGAGTCGTGTCTCCAGCACCCAGCACGATGCCTGGGAAATAAAGCTGCCCACAAATGCTTTTCAAATGAATCAGTGAGTACCATTTTATACCTCGAGAATCAACCAGTAATTCACCATATCTTCAGGCAAAAGAATAGAAACCCCACGATTATCCCAATGAAATCAGGAAAAGCACATGACAAAATTCAGCATCCATTTATAACAAAAAAATCTCAGCAAGCTAGAAATTGAAGGGAAATTCCTCAACCTGATAGAGAAGATTGCAAAAATCCGCAGCTAACAACATACTTAATGGTCAAATTCTTTGCTTCTAGGATCAAGAAAAAGGAAGGATGGTGTGGCACAGTGGAGGGATAAATTGGGAGTTTGGGATTTGCAGATACAAACTGCTATAAATGAAAGCGATAAACAGCAAGGTCCTACTGTAGAGCACTATCACAGTAACTTGTGATAGTCTACAATGAAAAAGAATATGAAAAGGAGTATGTATATGTGTATCACTGAATCACTATGCTGTACACCAGAGATTAACACAATGTTGTAAATGACTGACTATACTTCAATTAAAAAAAAGTTTTTTAAAAAAAACTAAAAAAGAAAGGAAAAGGAAAGATATCTGCTGTCACTTCTATTCAGTATCACCCTGGAGGTCCTAGCCAGAGCAGGAAGGCACAGATAAGACATGAACAGATTGGAAAAGAGGAGACAAATCTGTTCCTACTCACTGATGACAAGACTGAAGAGATTCCCATAGACTCTAACCCAAATTACTGGAATAAGAGAGTTTTTCAAGGTCACAGAATACAATATCAATATAAAAAGCCAACTCATCATATTTCTGTATTTTAGTGATGAGCAATTTGGAACTGAAAACAAGTAATACCATTTAAAGTAGCGTCTGTAGGATCTGTGTGCTGCAAATGAAGCACCGGCTATGTGTACGTGGGACGTGGGCAAGGGGCATGCGAGCTGACATTGAATTTGGTTCTTTTTGTTGAAATGTGCTTGGGGATTTGCAGTCACATTTGTGTATAGCTGAGACAGTTCTAGCTGTTTTAGTGTAAGAATGACTTCCTGGAATAATCCTGCCATCCACCTACGTGGCATCATGACCCAAAGGTACGGAACTCAGATGGTTTTGTTATAAGAATGTGTCCCCTCCCGGTGCACAGCACTGGAAGTATGTGCGTAGCCTTGATGAATAAGGTTTGAAATATACAAAACCAGCTTGTCCTTGGAATATGTTTCCAATTGTCAGACGTGGACTCATAAGCAGACAATTTGTTTTCTGTTGATGCCTAATCAGAATAAGAGTTCTCTCCTTTTATTAAAAGAACATACTTGATTATGAGCATATTCAATTACAAAGACATCAAAATCTTTTTTTTTTCTTTTTGATGAATTTATTAGAATTCCTGTGAATACATTTGTGTGTAAAGTCGTGTGTTTTATGCATTCCAATGATCAGGAATAAAGAATGATAATTTAAAATTTCAGTCAGCCATGTTAGAGGAAAGGCTGAATTATTTTCTCCTATTTTATAGTAAATGATATTATAAGATTATTGTCATATAGAAAAGCAGCACAGAAAAGTGCAGAAAATATTATAGAGGTATATTAGGCAGTCAAAAAAATTTTTTTTCTGGGTTTGGTGATGTTTGTGATATTGGTCAGCTTTTTAAAATGTGAAATTTTTGTGATTATATATATAATATATGTCCTTCTTTTTCCTAATTTTATATCTGTTTTATTATTTTTCTTAGTAAAATTGTATAAGCTTTAGGTCCCCACAAAACCTACATATACCTCTAACCAACAAGCTAAAAGACTGAAAAATGTAATAATAAATATTTAACTAATTCAAAAGGAGGCAAGAGAGGCAAAAGTGAATATAAAAGATGTGGGACAAATAGAAAGAAGTGATGATGAGATGATAGATTTAAGTGAAAATATAACAATAATTACATTAAATGTAAATGAACTATACAAAATTTAAAAATTGATAAAATGGGTTTTTAAAAACCCAACTATACACTGCTTACAGGAGATAAATGTTAAATTAAGGCTATATTAAAGCCGAAAAGTAAGTTTGGAAAAAATAATTTGATGCAAACAAAACAAACAAAAATAAAATAAGCAAAGCTAACTTAGCTATACTAATACCAGACAAATAGACTGAAAAATTGAGAACATTATTAACAACTTTATGTCAATAAGTTTGGAAGTTTCAATGAAATATATAAATTCTTGGAAACACATAATTCACCAAAACTGACACAAGAATAAAGAGAAAAATCTGAATAATTGGACACTTCATTTAAAAACTTTCAACAAAGGATACTCCAGACCCAAATGGCTTCTCAGGTGATATGCATCAAACATTTAAGGAAGACGTAACAATTTTGCACATCTCTTCCAAAAACCGAAAAAGAGGAAAGATTTCTTAAGAGTTTTACAAGGCCAGAGAAGTCTTTATTCCAAAATTTGGTAAGAATATTACAAAAAGGAAAATTATAGGCCCATTTCATTCAAGGAGATAAATGCAAAAATCCTAAACAAAATATTAGCAACCCAAATACAATTTTTTTTTAATGTCAAAAAGAGAATCTATCACAGGCAAACTGGATTGATTTCAGGAAAGCGTAGATGGTCTTCACTCTGTATTTTTTGCAAGAGATCAAGCATCTTAATACCACTTCCCCGCCCACCCTGTCACAATTCCTATGAGTGCACTTTGGGATCTCACGTATCTGGGTGTAACTACCCCTCACTAAAAATGAAAGTAAGTCACAAATATTCCAGTCGCCAGGTTATAAAATTGTCCAGAGTTGTTGGTTCCATCCAATACCCAAAACAGGCCGACACCCTGCCTTTGGCCAGAGATACGCAACCATTAATATCTATCAAATGACTGGATGGGTATTAAAGAGAACAGCATTGTTTAGCATGACTCCTTTGAATCATGTAGTAACCATGATCTCATTAAGTGGCATAAAGAAAAAAAATTTAATACATTAGCTCCTAAACAGAATTTTTAGAAAAGTATTCAAAGATGAAGCAACTGAGAGTCGTCTGTCTTATTAATTAGCACGTCAATGGACTTCTGTCCAGCAGATTTTATCACAGTGAATGCATTTTTGGATATGAATCAGTGGTTCTTGAATCTTAATTAAATCAGTCAGCAAGAGATAATTACATGTGGTTCCTGGGCGGCAGTGAAGACAGGGCCTTCTTACATAACCTCGTTTTTTATGGAATCACGCTATCTGAGATGGACGTGGGGAAGGCCTTGTGTCCTACTAAACTCATTATCAGAAAATACATGAATGCGACCAAGAATATGTATGCAGCTTTCTGTTTGCAAAGAGGGTTGACTAAAAGCTGTTCGTTAGAATTATGTGGGGTAGGTTAATTTTGTGATCAGCTAGGGTAGGCATCATTTTGGAGAAAGCATGAACTTTGGAGGGATGTATCTGGCTTCAAACCCTCGCTCAGCCAAATCACGACCTGTAGGATCCTGAGTGAGTAATTTGCCTCCGTTACCTTTTCTGTAGGGCAGTACTACAAAAAGCATAAAGGGTGGACTTCCTGGAGGTTGCTGTATTCTACCTTACGGACTTCACTGAGCGCACAAACAGAACATAATACCTCTGTTTCAGTAGAATAAGGGTAGAGAAGGGGAGAAAACCCATCATAACATAGAGATTTCTAATTGTTCAATTAGTAATGAAATTGACATACGGGGACAAAATCAAAGCTCCTCCAGTCAGTAGGCAGACTCTGGTTAGTTTCCCTGAATTACTCAATTATTTATTTCACTCCTTTTTGTTTTATTTTTAACACTCTAATAATGGTAAATAAATCCATACAAAAATGTTTTCTCCCTAATAACCAAAGGAATTCAATTAAAGTAAACACCAGGGAACTTTTATGCTAAATTATCAAATTATCTGAAAAGTAATAATGCTCTATGTTGGTAAAAATGTTATGAAACTGGAACTTTCAGCTAGTACTGTTGTGCAGCCTAAGTAGAAAGAAAAATATTGATGTTTGCTCACTGTCATGTTTTCTAGTAAAGCAAAAGCTATATGTAACTAAGATATCCAACCACAAGAGAATGAATGAAAAATTATGGTTAGCTATCATGAAGACTTTGAAAAAAAAATGATCATTTTCAAGAGTAAGTATAAACATCACAATATTTTATGGTATAAAAATTTTAAAGCAAAAGTTTATGTGACTGCAACAACATGGAAGTATTCATATTTGGCCCAAGAATGGAAGATGTGTAAAAATCGAAATAATTTTTATGTTAGGATGGCGAGATTACAAGTATTACCTCAAAAATTTACTCATGTTGTTCTGAAAAGAGAACAGTCTGAGAGCTCTGATTTCCTGCTCAGCTTTCTTTGTTGTATATCTTACTGTCCTGAGACAACAGTAAAAGTCACTGAAGAAACATTTCTTCTCTGCAGTATGATTAGCTGATTAGATAATGTAGCTAAGATTTATGTAGACTTTGTGGCTAAAATCTAAGGTCAGTGGGTTGAAAAGAAAATCTTCTGGATAAATTGTTCACATTTTAATTTACACTTATTTGTACTCCCTTCCATTCTACCAGGAGTTAAAGGCTGTGGGATTTACTAACATGGATGGTTAACCCTCAGCAATAGCCAACAGTAACTGTGTGCTCCTGATGTAAGTCTGTCGACAGCTGTGAGCTCAGTTTTATTTAACCTTGGTTTGTTATTTTTACCTAGAGCATCTGGAGCTTTTTAACATGGATATACGGTAACATAGCTAAAAATAGAACGAAAATTAGATTCCCTCGCTAGACAACCCAATTGTTAAGAAAAATAAGAAGTGGTTGGGGGCGGGGTGGCGCAGACATGTGCACCTCCTTCCAAAAGCATCATTATCTAGAAGAAAGCACTTTTTAACAGCACCTGACATCCTAGGGGACAAAACACTTGAACACAATATTGAACTTAATTTTGTTTGTCTTTTCATATCTTGGTTTGATTTAGTTCTGAGTTTTTACCCTCAACATATTTAATGAAATCTGTGAAGTCATGTTACCATGATTAGCTCTTACTTCTGAGAAGTACAGTCAGTCTCTTAGCGAACAAATCCCCGGACTGAGGTTACATAATGCAGTGGCTGTAGTTTCATAATCATTGCCCACTCTTAGTCTGGGATCTCATGCTGGTCAGGAGGAGGAATAGAACAGACTTATAGCTGTGGTCAGTAAATCTTAGTGTGTTTTTGTTTTGAGTCTTTTTTTTTAATTGAAGTATAGTCAGTTTACAATGTTGGGTCAGTTTCTGGTGTGCAGCATAATAGTTCAGTCATGGGTGTACATACATATACTCTTTTTCATATTCTTTTTCATTAGAAGTTACTACAAGATATTGGATATAATTCCCTGTGCTATACATATGAACTTGTTTATGTATTTTATATATAATAGTTAATATCTGCAGATCTCAAACTCCAATTTATCCCTTCCAATCCCCTTCCCCACTGGAAACCATAAGTTTGTGTTCTATGTCTGTGAGTCTATTTCTGTTTTATAAATAAATTTGTCTTTTTTTAAGATTCTACAAATAAGTGATATCACATGGTATTTTTCTTTCTCTTTCTGGCTTACTTCATTTAGAATGACAACCTCCAGGTCCATCCATGTGGCTGCAAATGGCATTATTTTATTATTTTTTATGGCTGAGTATTATTCCCTTGTGTAAATATACCACCACTTCTTTATCCAGTCATCTGTTGATGGACATTTAGGTTGCTTCCATGTCTTGGCTGTTTGTAAATTCAGTGTATTTTTATCTGAGCTGCTGGTGTCTTTACTGTGCACTCTTTCCTGGAAGAATCTCATATTCTCTCCAAGTTTCCACCACCACCTGAACACTGATGGCCCACCTCTGTCTCAGTCTCTATACTGAGGCTTCACATCACACAGCCAGTTTTTTGCTGGGCATCCCCTGGAAGTCCCATGGACACCTTACATTTCATTCACATGACACCGAACCATCTGGATCTCAGATTTGCTCTTTTTCTGTGTTCATCTTGTCACTTGGTAACTGCCGCCACCCACCACCTTCCCCTCCTGCTCTCCAGCATCGCCTCCCTCTGACACACAGCAGGCTGACCACCATGTCCATCTGGTTTGACACCCTGCGTAGTCCAGCCCGTCTCTCTCCTCCCCGTCCCCACTGCCTGCTCCTCAGGCCAGGCTTTCCCCGCCTTCTGCCTGCACTGCTGCGGCCAGGGCTGCTCCCGGGTTTACAGGGATGTGGGCAAATAT